CTCACCGGTTCTGGGTAGTTAATGTTTGTTTTTATCCCATCTAATGATCCAAATGAAGACAGATGTGAAGAAGATTAAATTTGCTGTAGTTTTATTGGGATTCATAATCCCATTAAATGAAACTAAATAAAATTCTGTAAACTGATTATGATCGGGTCTGGGAACATCTGAGTGGTGGAACTATGGGACTTCATCTCAGCAGAACAGATGGCTGGACTCGAGGCAAACCTAATTCTGCAGAATTAACCCTGCAGCGTCAGGTTTCATCTCAGAAGGAGGCCTGAACTAGGAGCTAGGAGAAACATTCACCATGCTGTGTCTCCGTCCTCCAGTCCAAACCGTCCCCGTGGTCAGAGCTAAAGCAACTGCTTCTCCAGGCAGCGGGCCAGTTGATCCCATCAACCAGATGGTGAGAGTGAGATGCCACCCTCATAGCATGCAGAGGAATTTCCCAGCATTCCCTCTGCCTGCTTTGTGTCAGTTACTAGGAGGGGTGGCCGGCTGCTAGTCAGTGATAAAGCAGAAGAAACAACCTCCTGTGACTCAGTTCTGTAACCAACCAGCCTGTGGGGTGTTGATCTGGTCTGGATTGTGACCTATGACCTCTGCATCAAAGGGCTGAGTATAAAGCATGAGAGGTTTGACTAAATAAACTGGACTGAGATGGGTTTAAGTTTATATTTGTGTTAGAATAAATCTGATTGGTTATTTTCATTCAGCCTAGCTGCTGGAGCAACAGGTGAGAAAAAAACGACGCCTCAGTTTACACACGCCGAGCGTGAAATGTGACTTGTTTATTTCCTGCTGTGACACACATCTGTGAATAAGGTTTATGTTTGTGATCAGAGTTCCTGACTGAATGTGTGGGAGAATCTTAGTGTGAGGTTTGTGCTTGTGTTGGAGGGACAGGTGGGTCAGGGTCTGGCCGTGAGGCTTACTGGTCTGGTGCGCTGATCCTACACAAATACCAGACGTGTGATGGGAAGATGTCATACTTTCAAGAGTTGATGAATGAGAAAAATGAAAGACAATAACAAACAGAAGAGGTGACTATCGTGGACCAGAAAGTAGCAATTTGAAGTGAAGAGGGCAGAAGATGAAGAGTGGACGGACGGGAATTATCTAGGAGAGGTGGCAGCAGAGTTTTGATCAGGTTCTTCTAACAGGATCTTAGAGGGGAAGAGGAAGCCTGAGGAGCGGGAAAGCGTTTTGGTGCCAATTTTTCATAACAAAGGTGTGCAGGTTGCAGAACTGTGGCAAATAGAGGAATAAAGTCAATGCGCCATACGATGAAGTTATGAGATAAAGTAGAAAGTGCTAGATTAAGTAGCACAGTTTAATGCCAGGAAAGCGCACTGCAAGGGCTATTTTTGCTTTAAGGATGCTGCTGGAGACGTCTCCGTACAGAGAAGGTCAATGAGAGTTGCACTGTGCCTTGGTAGATTTAGAGAAAGCTTATGTCAGGATGCTGAGAGAGGAGCCGTGGTGTATGAGGAGGTCTGGAGTGGCAGAAGATGTTAAGTGGTGTAGAACATGTCAGAGCAGTGAGAGCTCAAGATGTTGAGGTTCTCTTTAGGAGTGATGAGGATGGATAGGATCAGGGATGAGTCTATCAGAGGGATGGACAGAGGAGAGACAATGATGACACAGGTAGAAGGATGCTGAGGTTGGAGCCACCAGGCAGGAGGCTGAGAGGAAGACCAAAGAAGAGAGTTACGTATGCAGTGTAAGAGGACATAAGTTAGGTGGTGTAAGTGTAGAGGACACACACACACACACACACACACACACACACACACACACACCTCTGTCTCATAGTGAGGACCCTCCATTGACTTCCATTCATTTTTGTGACTCCACTATGCCTAACCCATACCCTAACCATAAGTTACCAATGCTGATCGATTCCTAACCCTAACCTCAACAAAAACTTAATTCAAACCATACCTCAATCTCAAATTTGCCATTCTTTGCTAAAATACTGGAGCGTGTTGTGTATCTACAGCTTCAGTCTTTCCTTGCCCAAAATGACATCTTGGAACCATTTCTCTCTGGTTTTCGGGCTGGACACAGCACTGAAACTGCTCTCTTAAAAATTCTAAATGATATATTTTTAGTAACTGATGCAGGTGAGGCTGTGGTTCTGCTGCTACTGGACTTAGCAGCATTTGATATAGTTGACCATCAGAATCTGTTGAATCGACTGGAACACTGGGTGGGGCTCACTGGTTCTGCGTTAGAGTGGATGAGGTCCTACCTCATGGATAGGACTTTCTCATTTCCCCTTATTCTTCAGGGGATGCTAAGCTTAGGTGAGGGGTTCCTCAAGGCTCTGTTTTGGGCCCCCTGCTGTTCTCCCTCTGCTACCACTGGGACTGTTGTTTAGAAAACATAACAATAGTTTCCATCTCTATGCTGATGATTGTCAGCTGTACATGCCTGTTAAACAGGGGGCCAGAGATAGCATACAGCAGCTAGTGAATTGCCTCCATAATATTACCCAATGGATGGGTCCAACTTCCTTTCTTTAAATAAGGGAAAAACTGAAATAATAAGTTTTTTGTAATGACCTGACCGGAGAGACCCGTGAAGACAACCGAGACACAGCAAGGCGCTTTAAAGTTTTTATTATGGAGAACACAGAAGAATGTTGCCAGTCTGAAGGAAGGGCAGTAGCAGAGGCTTGGTCAAGAGGAGAGTGGGGGTCAGAGCTGGGGAGATCAGAGTAGTTCCAAAAGGGGCAGGCAAGAGGCAGAGTCCAGGATCCAGGTCAGAGGTCAGAAATCCAGGTAATCAGATGCATGAGATAAACCAGGCAGGGTGTAGACAAAGGGGTATCCGAAGGTCCAGAACAGAGTTGAGATGCGAGAGTCGAGGGTTAATTAATTTCAATTCAATTCAAGTTTGTTTATATAACGCCAAATCAAGACAAGACAAGAGTCTTCTCAAGGCACTTCACATAGTAAACATTCCAATACAGGTCAGTTCATTAAGCCAATCAGTAAAAAGTTTCCTATATAAGGATCCCAGCAAATTGCATCAAGTCACTGACTAGTGTCAGTGAGTTTACAGCAATCCTCATTCTATCAATCAATCAATCAAATTTATTTATAAAGCGCCTTTCAAACATAGTGCTACTCAAAGTGCTTTACAGAATGACCCCAGATTCCCATAACAGGTTAAAAACATTAACAGACATATGCAAGCACACGCGCACGCACGCACACACACACACACAAGTAAAAATTATATTTGGCTGAGTCCAGATGAGCCAAGTAAGGTAAGGCAAGGAAACGCCATCAGAGGAGCCGTCTGCCCCGGCAGCATCAGGTCTTCCACACTAAGTCTAAGCAAGCATTTAGAGACAGTGGAGAGGAAAACTCCCTTTTAACAGGAAGAAACTTGCAGAGGTTAAGAGTGCTGGAGATCTACTGGCAAATGCTTTCACTAATCTGACACTGGCTTGGTGTTGGTCCTGGTGTTTTATAGGGAGCATTGCAGGTGGAGCTGATGAGGAGTTAATGCGAGACAGGTGGTCTGGATGAGGTTGATGGTGAGCTGGTTGTGGTTGCTGGGGAAAAGGGGCTTGGCCAGAGCAGGGGCATGACAGATTTACTCCAAATGACCGCCAACCCCATGGATTGGACCTTTTGGGGCGACGGTAGCACAGGAGTTAAGTGCTCGCCCCGTAATCGGAAAGTAGCAGGTTCGAGCCCCCCTCAGTCTGTCGCTGTCGTTGTGTCCTTGGGCAAGACACTTAACCCACGTTGCCTGCTGGTGGTGGTCGGAGAGATCGGTGGCGCCAGTGCTCGGCAGCCTCACCTCTGTCAGTGTGCCCCAGGGCAGCTGTAGCTACATCGTAGCTCATCCCCACCAGTGTGTGAATGACTGGTTGTGTTGTAAAGAGCCTTGAGGGGTTCCAGGGCTCTAGAAGGCATTATATCAAATACAGGCCATTCATTGTTGCTCCCCTATGAGAAGTCTGATTACAGACTTGGGTGTCAAGATAGACTGTGGTCTAAGATTTGATAGTCAGGTGAACTCTGTTGTTCGTTCGTGTCTCCATCAGTTAAGGCGTTTATCTAATATTAAGTCGATCTTAACAAAACAGGAGTTGAAAACTGTTGCCAAAGCTCCCTCTATGCTGGCTTGAGCCAGTCCTTAATGACTCGGCTCAAGCTGGTCCTAAACACTGTTGCCAGATTTCTGTACGGAGCACGTAAGTGGGAGCATGCCACTCCCCTCCTGACAGCTTTGGACTGGCTACTGTTGAAGAGTTGCATCTTGTTCAAAATCCTGGTCCTTATTTTTCAATCCCTGTCTGGATCACCGCCACCATATTTAGCCTCCCTGCTGACCCGTTATGTCCCTGCAAGATCGCTACATTCAGGTCAGAGTGACCTTTTGGTGGTACCGTGATCAAAGCATAAGTCTAGGGGTGATCGCGCCTTTGCAGTTCTAGGTCCTCCGCTTTGGAACAAACTCCCACAAGAAATCAAGCAGTCCACATCGCTGCCCACTTTTAAAGCGAGGCTTAAGCTGTATTTTAGATCTGTTTCTATTCACATTTTAATGCTTTTGATCACTATTCTTATATTGGTTTTAGCTTTTCTTGTTTCTCTGTATTTTATTATAGAGCTGTTTTATTGTGCTGCTTCTCTGCGCCATGTTCAGCACCTTGGGCCCCCTTGATTGGGGGTGGGACGGGGCTTTATAAATAAAATGAATGAAAGAAATACCCCTAAAACTTCTAAACTTTTAAAAAAGCGAGGACCACAAAAATGTCTTCTCTTTGAAAAATGACCTCACTCTGTTTGTTAAAACCTCATGATGGTCTTCAGTAGGTAGTAATTACGAGAACACACACACACACTTCGTGAGACGACACAACCTCAACAGGACATCGTGAACTTTTTTGACAACTTTGTTGTCCAGAAGGACGTCCAGAATAAAACCTCTTTGTTTCCGCGTCAGGTTACAGACAATAAGATGACAAAACATACTTTTAGTTTGTTTATTTAAAAAAAAAAAAGAACAAAATCTGAATCAGAAGAGTTTTGCATAACACACATATATGCATGTGAAATACAGAATAAAGAAGCCACTCACCCAACCGCTTCCCTAAAACACCAAGGGAAAAAACACTTGAACAAATATTACGTGGTTGTTCCCTCCGGGGTCTCTAGTCTGCAAGCACCAAACCCAAATTCAGCAAAGAAGAAGCGTCAGTGCAGCTGGTCCTCTGGTACAATCGCTCACTCACCGAGTTTAGCTTTAAGTCAGACTTTTTGGTTTGTTTTCTGAGACTAAAAGATTTTCTGTGATTCATTTTGTCTTGTTTTTTACTAGAGCTAGTCCCTCTTCATCAGAATGTCGACTAGCTGGACACAATCTGGGTTAGAAGAGTCACCAGGAAGCTGATTAAAACTCAAGTTTCAAAAGGTTTCTCATCAGGATGTAGGAAAAACAAGAATCCGTGCAGAGCTGAAGTAGCTTCAGTGTTTGACGTAGCATAGTTCCAAACAGCACCAGGTGAGCGCCATGAGGGCGGGCGGAGCCTAAAGGTTTATGTCTGCGTCTGGATCGGCACAGCTTACAATCCCTGGACTGGTGAAAAATAAAAACGCTCCATCTCAGTAAGGGAAAGAAAACACGTCACATGTATGTCTCACAACTACAATAACAATTAGGGAAATGCCCTTGAGCAAGGCACTGAAACTCCGACTGCCTGGCGGCTAACAGTTCGTGGCTGATGTGTGAGAACGCCTCTATGTATCTCTCCAAACTGTGAGCTCTTAATTTGAAAACCGTGGGCAGGAAACACAAAGCATGGTCACAATAAAATAAACCCTGCGTCCTCTCTCCTCACGAGAAACAGACAGCTGCTTAAAAACGTGTTTTCAGTTGTAGTGTCTCGTTGGAAAACACAAGCAAACTATTTTAACCACTTTTTGACAGCAGAGAGCAAAGCGCGTTCTGGTGACGGACAATCTAACTACTCGCTCTGATCCACTAGCAGTGTCACTACCTGACTCCATCAGTGTGATCAACGGGTTCCAGTCCTGGGGTCAGAGGGGATGAAGGTGTGCTTGAGTCAGGAACGATGCTTGGGTAAAGTCTCTGAAGGGAGATTTTATCACCCATCTTCCTTCTCTCCACATCTCGGTGTCCCTGAGGAAGGCACCTCCGCTCCAGCTGGAGGCGACACTTGGGAAACTCCCGGTGGTGGGACACGTGTGGCTGGGAAGCAGACAAGCTATCGGAGCAGCTTACCTGCAGGAATTAAGATCCAATGATCTCACTTGGTCTGGGAGTTGCATGAGAGCGCTCCTTACCAAACTGAAGATGAGGTCTTGTGTTGAGAGAGAAAAGTCTCATTGGCTGAAATGTAATTAAATACTCAGCTATTGTTGTCTGGGTGGAGTGGGGTGGAGGTGAATGTGGGGGATGAACCCTCTCTTGGTGCCAGGAAGGAAGGCAGAGCAAAAACAACTTGTGTCTATTGGCATGAGTTCTTCAGAGGGAGTGTGTGGGGGGGGGCCGGAGGGGCCACTGCAGCAGCCTTTGTTGTTCCAGGCATGATGGGGGCACCCTCATGTTGGCAGGAGAGCGAAGGTCATCAGGGCAGCGTCCTGCTAAACGTAGAACTGGTGCAGCGCCAGTTTATCCATGAAGGGCCGGACCAAATTATCTGTGGCAAAGTAAAAGACCAGGCCAAAGAAAATGGAGATGGGCAGAGCCGGCAGGGCTTTCTTAAAGATGGCGAGGAGGAGCAGAGTCAGACAGAGGCCCTGCAGGCACAGAGAGGAGCAAAACCAAACTGAGTGATTAAACCCCAAACAAAGGCGTCTCTGAAGGAAAACACATAATTAAACAATCAGGTGGTTCACACAAGGCAGACGAGGGTTTGGTGGCTTCAGCTTGATGTGAAAATAAAGAATCACTCACGATGAGGATGGCAACAAAGCAGGCGAGCGTGGTGTTCCAGTCCTCGCTGGCGGTGGCAGAGGCCTTCCCCACCAGCATGCTGTAGAAGATGAAGTCCCCGAGTCCCAGCTTGACGCCCCCTGAAATCACAGGAGGTGGCCACAGTCAGGGTGTAGTCTATTCAGACGGCCCCAGCAGAGCCCAGCTGTAATTACCGTAAAAACGGGAGCTCCGACCCCATACTTGTACTAAGGTTTAAACTAAAACCAGCTCAGGACCACCAGACAGTGAAGACAAGAAAACCAGCAATTGCCATAAAAATGATTGCTTCCTAATCTGTTTTGACTAAAAAGAGCAACATACTTTCACAGAGAGGGGGGACAGTAAAAACATCCCAAAACTGTTTTATGGGTTCAGAGGAAGGAAAACTCGAAAATGATGATTAAAGGAGAGGATCTGTGATTTCACTGGTCTGAATTACAAACTCAGCTTCATGGCGGGGTTAGGGGAAACCAAAACATCTGTAGGAACATTCTTACAGCCGCACACCAAAATGTGGTTTAGAGTGCACGATGTTAGCCAACAAAGCCAGAGAGGTGAGCTAAATGCTGGTATTAGATAAATCTTTATTGTGTTTTGTTTCTGTTTTCTTTCTTCTCCCAGAAAATGAAAGCATTAACTAAATGACCTGATTTTGTATTTTACATACACATTTAAACGAGATGCATTTGTAGGATAATTATGTTGAATCTGGATGGAAGGTTTTGTTTGGTAACACTTTACAATAAGGGTCCCCTCACTGTTACTAAGTGTATTATTAAGCATTAAGAAAATCAAAGGTAAAAAAAGGTAAAAACAAATCTTCTACTACGCTGTGTTTAAAGAAGAATTAAAACTATCTAAGCACATCTGTTACAGTTTCCTCACGTGACCATATTTGGAGTTGTTTCACACTGAGGCAAAAGTTTAGGATGAAACCCAGATGGATCCCGTTGGAACTTCAGGTGAGGCAGTGACCAGGTGAGGTAGTAATTAGTAGGGATGCACCGAGGCCGTAAACCGAAACACCAAAAGAAAATATCATGACAATAATTACAACCATAGAATTTACGGCTACGATGTGTACTAACCTAGCTCGTAGCTCATCTCCACCAGCGTGTGAATGTGTGTGTGAATGGGTGAATGACTGATTGTGTTGTGAAGCGCCTTGGGGGGGGCCTAGAACCCTAAGAAGGTGCTATACAAATACAGGCCATTTACCATTTAACCTCACTAAAATCAAGGCATTGCAATAAATCTGTTACAAAACCTTGAAAATGTATATTTACCACTGACATAACAACAATGCACAATACAAATGAACTCTAAATAAAATGTTTTACTTGAACCCACTCGTGTACATTCAATAATACTAAATTATAAATGAATAAAGATTATAAATGCACAGGCTTATAACTGAAAGGCCTGCTGAAGACTGTAAAATTAACCCTTTAGGTGCCAAAGTTGCAATATTGCATTTGATGAGCCACAGCTACAAATATAATCCCTCATGAAATTATTACTTTACACCAGAAGATAGTGGAGATGTGTAACTTCATTCTGAGCAACACTTTTGGGTGTCCTCCTGTAGTAGTCTCGTAGTAGTCAGGTGTGGTAGTATTCACGGCTGGTAATAATCAGGTGTGGTAGTAATCAGATGCGATAATAATCAGGAGTTGTAGTATTCGCATCTGATTAGGGTTGGGCGATATGGCCTAAAATCAATATTGCGATATATTGAGGATTTCACCTTGATAACGATAAACGGACGATAACTACAGGTATGCGCTGAAACAAAAGTTGTCACATGTATCATGTCGAGTCACATTTTTACGTTACTCAAGGTGGTACAGCTTCTTAAAGGGACATGAACGTTGCCAACCTACACACATCTTTTCATTCTTTTATCATCACATTTTGACATGGGAAAAATTATCACAATAAGAGTCAGAAATTTCAATAACGATACATTTTCGATATATCGCCCAGCCCTATGTCTGATAATAATCAGGTGTGGTAGTAATCAGGTATGGTAGTAATCAGGTGTGGTGGTAATCAGGTGTGGCGGTAATCAGGTGTGGTAGTAATCAGATGCGGTAGTAATCAGCTGTGGTAGTAATCAGGTGTGGTAGTAATCAGATGTGGGTTTAATCAGGTGTGGCAGTAATTAGGTGTAGTTTTAATCAGGTGTGGTAGTAATCAGATGCGGGTTTAATCAGGTGTGGCAGTAATTAGGTGTAGTTTTAATCAGGTGTGGTAGTAATCAGATGCGGTTGTAATCAGGTGTGGTAGTAATCAGGTGTGGTAGTAATCAGGTGTGGTGGTAATCAGGTGTGGTAGTAATCAGGTGTGGCGGTAATCAGGTGTGGTGGTAATCAGGTGTGGTAGTAATCAGATGCGGTTGTAATCAGGTGTGGTAGTAATCAGGTGTGGTAGTAATCAGATGCGGGTTTAATCAGGTGTGGCAGTAATTAGGTGTAGTTTTAATCAGGTGTGGTAGTAATCAGATGCAGTTGTAATCAGGTGTGGTAGTAATCAGGTGTGGTAGTAATCAGATGCGGGTTTAATCAGGTGTGGCAGTAATTAGGTGTAGTTTTAATCAGGTGTGGTAGTAATCAGATGCGGTTGTAATCAGGTGTGGTAGTAATCAGGTGTGGTAGTAATCAGATGCGGTTGTAATCAGGTGTGGTATTAATCAGGTGTGGTAGTAATCAGGTGTGGTGGTAATCAGGTGTGGTAATAATCAGGTGTGGCGGTAATCAGGTGTGGTAGTAATCAAGTGTGGTGGTAATCAGGTGTGGCAGTAATTAGGTGTAGTGGTAATCAGGTGTGGTAGTAATCAGATGCGGTTGTAATCAGGTGTGGTAGTAATCAGGTGTGGTAGTAATCAGATGCGGTTGTAATCAGGTGTGGTAGTAATCAGGTGTGGTAGTAATCAGATGCGGTTGTAATCAGGTGTGGTAGTAATCAGATGCGGTTGTAATCAGGTGTGGTAGTAATCAGGTGTGGTAGTAATCAGATGCGGTTGTAATCAGGTGTGGTAGTAATCAGATGCGGTTGTAATCAGGTGTGGTAGTAATCAGATGCGGTTGTAATCAGGTGTGGTAGTAATCAGGTGTGGTAGTAATCAGATGCGGTTGTAATCAGGTGTGGTAGTAATCAGATGCGGTTGTAATCAGGTGTGGTAGTAATCAGATGCGGTTGTAATCAGGTGTGGTAGTAATCAGGTGTGGTAGTAATCAGATGCCGGTTTAATCAGGTGTGGCAGTAATTAGGTGTAGTTTTAATCAGGTGTGGTAGTAATCAGAAGCGGTTGTAATCAGGTGTGGTAGTAATCAGGTGTGGTAGTAATCAGATGCGGGTTTAATCAGGTGTGGCAGTAATTAGGTGTAGTTTTAATCAGGTGTGGTAGTAATCAGATGCGGTTGTAATCAGGTGTGGTAGTAATCAGGTGTGGTAGTAATCAGATGCGGTTGTAATCAGGTGTGGTAGTAATCAGGTGTGGTAATAATCAGGTGTGGTGGTAATCAGGTATGGTAGTAATCAGGTGTGGTAGTAATCAAGTGTGGTAGTAATCAGGTGTGGCAGTAATTAGGTTTAGTGGTAATCAGGTGTGGTAGTAATCAGATGCGGTTGTAATCAGGTGTGGTAGTAATCAGGTGTGGTAGTAATCAGATGCGGTTGTAATCAGGTGTGGTAGTAATCAGGTGTGGTAGTAATCAGATGCGGTTGTAATCAGGTGTGGTAGTAATCAGATGCGGTTGTAATCAGGTGTGGTAGTAATCAGGTGTGGTAGTAATCAGATGCGGTTGTAATCAGGTGTGGTAGTAATCAGATGCGGTTGTAATCAGGTGTGGTAGTAATCCGGTGTGGTAGTAATCCGGTGTGGTAGTAATCAGATGCGGTTGTAATCAGGTGTGGTAGTAATCAGATGCGGTTGTAATCAGGTGTGGTAGTAATCAGGTGTGGTAGTAATCCGGTGTGGTAGTAATCAGGTGTGGTGGTAATCAGGTGTGGTAGTAATCAGGTGTGGCGGTAATCAGGTGTGGTAGTAATCAAGTGTGGTAGTAATCAGGTGTGGCAGTAATTAGGTGTAGTGGTAATCAGGAGTGGTAGTAATCAGATGCGGTTGTAATCAGGTGTGGTAGTAATCAGGTGTGGTAGTAATCAGATGCGGTTGTAATCAGGTGTGGTAGTAATCAGGTGTGGTAGTAATCAGATGCGGTTGTAATCAGGTGTGGTAGTAATCAGATGCGGTAGTAATCAGGTGTGGTAGTAATCAGATGCGGTTGTAATCAGGTGTGGTAGTAATTAGATGCGGTTGTAATCAGGTGTGGTAGTAATCAGATGCGGTTGTAATCAGGTGTGGTAGTAATCAGGTGTGGCAGTAATCAGGTGTGGTAGTAATCAGGTGTGGTAGTAATCCGGTGTGGTAGTAATCAGATGCGGTTGTAATCAGGTGTGGTAGTAATCAGATGCGGTTGTAATCAGGTGTGGTAGTAATCAGGTGTGGCAGTAATCAGGTGTGGCAGTAATCAGGTGTGGCAGTAATCAGGTGTGGCAGTAATCAGGTGTGGTGGTAATCAGGTGCGGTAGTAATCAGGTGTGGTAGTAATCAGATGCGGTGGTAATCAGGTGCGGTAGTAATCAGGTGTGGTAGTAATCAGGTGTGGTAGTAATCAGATGCGTTTGTAATCAGGTGTGGCAGTAATCAGGTGTGGTGGTAATCAGATGCGGTTGTAATCAGGTGTGGCAGTAATCAGGTGTGTTGGTAATCAGATGCGGTTGTAATCAGGTGTGGCAGTATGCTTCACATCAGAGTCTCCAAATTAAAAAATGCTCTCAGCAACACCACGAAATTCTCCCCATCCATGTGCTTGAAAACATCTGTGTTCCTCAGAAGGCTGTGTGAACAAAACCTGGCTGTGTGGGGACGAGACGAGACGGACCGACCCAAACCGGTCTGGACTCACCCAGATGTGAAAGGGGCTAACAGCTGCAACAGACAGGGCTTGAACCTTTAACCCTTCAGTTACGTGGTGGGCATTTAACTCTCACCAGTCAACAAACAAATGAAGCAAAAAATCTTAGGAAACTGTGAGGAAGAGAGAACCTGTGAAGCTCTCTGGGTTCAAACTCATAAACCCATAAACCTGGGTTTATACTGGAGGTCTGAAAACAGACCAGAATGTCTTTCCCCATCTGGTTGTAGCTCAGAACAGTGAGTCATTAAGTCATCCATTACTCACTTTCTTCATCATCGTCTTCAACAGGGGGGCGGGCGGAGGGCATCTGCTGGATCTCACGTCTGGTTTCCTCAGTGGACTGAAGCGGTCCCAGCTGGTGCTGCTGCTGGTTGATCCAAGTAGACGTGAAGCCACCGTCGTCCGGTGATGGACTCGCGGGTGCCGGAGACGCCACAGCTTCTAAAAAAGGAAGTCGGTCAGAATCCAGAACAATTACAGACCCAGGAACCAGGTGTGGCTCTGACCAGCCCCTTCCTGATGCCCACTCACCTCCATGAGTGTTCTGCTGGGGTAAACCCACTTCTGCTGAGTTCCTGTTTGGCCTCTCAATGTCTGCCATGTTCACAAGCCACACCATCGTAGCTGGGGAAGAAGGAAGAGACCAGGTCACCATATCACTCAGAAGCCACGTTACATGAGAACAGTTAATCAGATTGAACGCCCAATCAAATTTAAAACTCTGCATGTAAACATGTCAACTGTTATATTCTGATCTGATTCGGCCCGATCAGAATGAAATTTAAACCTGATTGAGGGAGTGGTTTTGTCCGATCATCATTGCGTTGACGTGCTTGTATAGAGCCATTCGGATTGTTAAATAATAATGCCCACTGCGCATGTGTGCAACAGCTAGCGAGCCTCCCTGCTGTCATGTGGAACACCTGACTTTAAAACTGACGGCCTAATTAACGAGCGCCGGCTTTTGAAAATGATGGCAAGCCGTCCCTGTTTCAGTAATATCTAATCCAGATTAGAGCTGAGGAAAAGAATCAAATCGATGCATCGGGATGCGGACATAAACGATTCTGCGTCGTAGAAGAGTACGCCATAATCGATTATAGTGGAATGTAGTTTTGTTTAAACGGCGGCACCAGCGCACCATCCAAATCTGCAAGAGTGAGCGTCCTCCACATTTACCAAGTGATTCCGCCTTAATGTGGTACTGCAGGGCAGAGCGCTAGAGTTGTAACCTAAGACAGAACCAGAACCGAATCAGCCCGACCGGTTCTGTTGGATTTGGGCCGTGAATTATGTTAATTGAGCGGGTTGTCACGCAGCGCGCTCCGCTCGCTCACACAGCAAGGGGGGGGGGGGGGGGGGGGGGGGGTCAATGATGGCGGCTGCAGCGTGATCGTCTGTCTCTTTTATTTAGGGACACGGAGAAGTTAAAAGGAGAGAGAAATGGAAGATAGAAGTTCTTGTTCCACTTTATTATTTTGTGTCATGATGATAAACTGATGTTAAATTCAGCTTAAAGAGAAACTGGGAGGAAGCTTTGGTTCATTTTAAGTTACAGGAGACTTGTCTCATATCTGCTCCTCCAGAGACAGCATGGACACGAGGGTTACAGGGTGAGGGTCCCACAGGACAGGTTAGTGGAAAGGTTTGTAGTTAGCTGGTTAGTGAAGGAGATCCATCAGCTGGGTAATTTAATCCTAATCCAGCCCACAGCCTTCTGCTGGTGTTATTATCAGAAAGAATAAAACACACATCTTAAATATTATTGGAAGTGTAGAATTTGTTTTCTGTTTTATTATTTTCTGCATCAAACAGAACTTGATTCATTCTCCAACACTTCAGAAACGAACCACTGGGTTCCAATAAAATAACAAATTAAGTCAAACATTTCATTTGGTGTTATTTCTGACACCCTTCAACTGCGGCATCAATATCTGACTCTAGAGCTGCTCAGAGACATTAAACACTCATTTATGAACCCATTATGTATTTTATTATTACATTATGTGCCCTGTAGGTTTTCAGTACTTTTTTAGATTTTGTGAGTTTTTGCAAAGCGTGTTTTTCTCAGCCTGAGGCGTGGTGCTGAACGAGGAAACAGATGTTTTACTTTGTTAAATCTTCTTAAATGTTTAAATGTTTTGTCCTAACCTGTTGTGAATGGAGAGATTTTGAGGGATGGCAGGTTGTGTCACTTACGTTTTTGATAAAAATAATAAAAAGCAACTATCTGTGTGGCTGCCGTCAGCCACAGTCATGCAGTTTTGAGATAATTTATGGTTCAAGTTACGATAAATAAGCTAAGAATATTTTATTTTTAATAATGTATACGTTAAGCGCGCATTTAAATGGTTTACAGAATATTTCCAGGGTGGAACCAATGTTTAGTTTGTTGTTTCGGGGTTGACAATATTTTCAGTTGCACGCCACACTTGATAGGCGGCAGCATGCTAACCGCTATCATTCGTTGGTAGAGCTATGCAGACGCATGCAACGACGTTTGCCAGCTGCGGAAAGGAGTGACACTGCAAGATGTGTTTTTTATTAACCCCTGCAAGTTAATGCGGCCAATGAGTTCTCACGGCACCGTTGGTGGCACCTGTGTGCAATAAATGCCAGTCAAAATTCAAGAACGCCTTGTGTCCGTTTTCAACTTGGAGGGAGTTACAGTGAGAACTCAATCTGCTCGACATAAGGCGAGGAGACAAGGACCTGTGCCTTTCACCCACTGAGCAAGAGGAAATTCATCGCACTATAGCATCATACAGATAAGACTGTGCATACACCAGTAACCTAAGCAGCAAGAAGTTGCAGTTTCTGTGGATGATCCTTTAAGTGATACGTTTAAATCAAGTTAAATGTGAAGAAGTGGATCAATTCTGGCAACTGCTTTAAAGGAACACTATAAGAACTGAAACCTTTAAGTAATCTGGTGCTCTGCATATGTTCTTTCTAAGTTTATGGTTTTGTCCAATTAAGATTTAGAGGACGTGAAGTCATTTACCTTCTGGTATTTGGATGCTAGAAGTGTTGTAGAACTAAGTGCTGCGTCGTATGCGTTGTTGACTCAAGATGGTATTCATTTAGATATTCCATTAAGGTTTAAGGTGTTGTACATTTTGAAGGTATTATATGAAGCTCATCTAAAGGCAAGGTTAAGCTTGTAGCTATTATTGTTTCAGGCAATTGAGCTGGTATATTGTTCAACGCATGTCTGTCAAGGTACAGCTGTAATTTATTTGTAATTTAAGTAATAAGTAAACATTGCAAATGGATCAAATGACTGAATATGAAACTAAGCATGGCGACTTACTTGAGGGTAGTAGTGCCACAAATGTACAGCAGTCACGTGAAGAGGAGCTACGAAGAGGTCAGAGACATCGAAAGCTTACTGAGAAGGCTCAGCAACTGTATGACGATAAGTTAAGAAAACTTCAGCATCGTTTCACTACAACTTATGATAAGTGGAAAGCAACCGCCAAGCAAGTTAAGAAAATGATAATGGGAGCCCCCTCTGTTGAGGTTGTTAAGGATTTGATATATAAATTAAGCTGTGCATCAGCAAATGTGAAACATGCATATGAAGATTTGCGCAAATGTGCTTCCCCAGACAGTGAGATCCGTCGTAGAGTAGATACCTGTGACGCATTGTCTAAAATAATCTTGGACAATGCAACCACTTACCTTCAGAAGAAAGATAACGAAGATGTTCAGACAGAGGATTTAGTCTGGCCTGAGTCTAGTTCAGTGCTTTCATCTTCAGCTTCTCAAGGCACAAGTAAAGGCCCTCAAATGAGTTTAAGCTCTGCAAGCAGTTCCAGCATAAGGTCACAAAGGTCAAGCTTTTTCTCTATTAAGAGACAAGAGGCCGTAGCAGAGCTGGCTGCCACACAAGCTGTACTAAAGGTCCTGCAGGACATAGAATGTGAAGAGCAAGAACTAGAAGACCTTGAAGAAGAAGATAGAAAGAGGATTGCATTACAAGAGGAAGAAAATGTGGCAAGAAAGAAAGCACTGGAAGAGAAGCGCAGACAAATAGAGCGCTTACAGACTGTTAAGAAGATAAGTAACACCTCAAAGAAATGCCAAAACCAATGACATTGTGATGCTGATGGATAATAGTCTACCCAGAAATGAGTGGAAGTTGGCAAAGGTAACCAAGGTGTACCCTAGTGAGGACGGAATCATTAGGAAACTCGAGCTGCTAATCAGTGATCCGGCATTGGATGACCAAGGAAAAAGAGTTAACAAGCCAGTGTATCTTGAGAGACCCATCCACAAAACAGTTACCTTACTCGAAGCTGAATAAATTCAGAGCTCCTGTCTTTGTACCTTATGTTGGCCCAAGAGTCTATCTACGCTTATTTTCCTTTGTTTGCCTTTTCCTTATTTCCCTTTGTAATGAGGTCCAGTTGGAAATCACCAGTGATTTGGTGGGAGTGTGGCTGCCGTCAGCCACAGTCATGCAGTTTTGAGATAATTTATGGTTCAAGTTACGATAAATAAGCTAAGAATATTTTATTTTTAATAATGTATACGTTAAGCGCGCATTTAAATGGTTTACAGAATATTTCCAGGGTGGAACCAATGTTTAGTTTGTTGTTTCGGGGTTGACAATATTTTCAGTTGCACGCCACACTTGATAGGCGGCAGCATGCTAACCGCTATCATTCGTTGGTAGAGCTATGCAGACGCATGCAACGACGTTTGCCAGCTGCGGAAAGGAGTGACACTGCAAGATGTGTTTTTTATTAACCCCTGCAAGTTAATGCGGCCAATGAGTTCTCACGGCACCGTTGGTGGCACCTGTGTGCAATAAATGCCAGTCAAAATTCAAGAACGCCTTGTGTACGTTTTCAACTTGGAGGGAGTTACAATCTGACATCTTCTATTCATCGATGAAAACAAATCAATATGAAATAATCGTGATGCATCGGGATATCGAATCGAATTGAATCGTTGACCCAATAATCATAATCGAATCGGGAGACAAGTGAAGAGTCACACCTCTAATCCAGAACGTGCATTTTGTGGAAGTAAAATAAAAATCTGATTATTGCACAAACAATTGGACAAACATGATCAAGTCTGTACTGGAAACACGCCGATTCACTGCGGGGTTTGCAGCACGGATCGCCGTTTCTGTGAACGCAGCAGCTGTTTCTGCAGCAGGTGGACGGAGACGTGCTCGTAACGAAGACAGAGTAACATCAGTTAGACAGACCTGGTTTGGTTTATTAACACATGATGAACACAGGCCTCCTAACTCTCTGAACTTCTGTCATTTAGTTTGAACCAATTCTTCTCAAGTTTCAGCTGATTGTCACATTTTATTAATAATAAACCACAACAGAGCTCAGTAACAAAATATGAGTGTAGAAATTTGGTGCATGTAAACGTGGCTAGTGATGTGTTCAACCACACAGTGCAGTTTTCCCTGAGTTGTAAGATCATTGATGACGCAGCTTCAGGGGTGTAACGGTACCGACTGAAGAATGACATTGTCTTACATGAGTAGATAAGAGCTGGGAAGATGGGTTCATTTCTCTCCTGGGCTGTTTCAACAAGGATCCTCAGAGGCCCTTTGGGACAGAGCACGGCCAACAGATCTGAGAGCAGAAACGAGGCAGAAGTCAGAGAGGTGAGCGTGGAAAGACAAACAGGTGAAGAAATGGAGGAGAGGAGTTACCATAGACTGATATAACTGCTAAGATGAGCCAGGCGGTCCACTCTGGTAGGTACTTGATGAAAACCAGGGCCATCAGAGCACTGATCATGATGAGGTAGGCCTGCTGGAGCCGCAGAGGTCCCTTCCAGTGAATACACATCATGCCCACCACCCCGAAGTTCCAGACTATTATTGCCAAGGTGAAGTAGTCCATGGCCACATTGTAGGTTTTGAAAACCTCTCTGTTCGAATGAGCAGAAACACAGGGGTCTAATATCATAATGAATTTAATACCTAATCAAATATGTCTGAATCTGTGTGTGTGTGGGGGGGGGGGGGGGGGGGGCTTACTTGAGGTAGATGTAGGAGAAGAAGAAGAGCAAGAGGAGAGAGGAGAGAAAGAGCCAGCCTTGGATCACCTGGGGGAGAGCAGGTAAACATTTAAATTCTTCCTGATGTTTGTTTTAAACGATCAGTGATGGCATAAGGCTGGTTTTTCCTCCTGCTTCACTCTCCATGGTCTAAAGATGGAATTTAATAAATAAAAACAAGAACAATTTTTAAATCTGCTACAGTTTCCTACAGCTGTTTGTCCTGGTAGGGTCAAAGTTAGATCAATTAGAAAATGATGATTAATAAATGTAATTTCTTTTGGGTTAATGTGCGTTGCTTCAGAGAGGCTGGCAGATGTTGCATAATATATTTTATTTCTATGTAATGACTCCTTTTGCTCAGTGAGGATTAATAAACGTTCACATTAGCTCTGGTCGCTCAGACGGAGGGGTCTAACCTCTGAAAAAGCTATTGCAGCTTTAGCGTGTACCTTGTAGCAGCGGTACTTGTAAAGCAGCACCAGCACCAACGTCATGACGATGATCACAGTGATCATGATGGTGGCATTCAGGATGGAGTTGACAGCTCTCTGCGCTACGGTGTCTGTCTCTTCAGGAAATGGTGTGTAAATCCTACAGATGGGTTAGAAAATAGGAAAAATATATTACACGTGATGAAGACAAGAAACATACTCGCAGTCAAGTGTTTGTTTTCATTTGCTCGTAACTGCTGGTTTTCATAAACAACAAGTGCTAAAATAAGCTTCTCTACTTCACTATTTAAAGGAACTTTACGGAGTTTTAAATTTTTATGCTTGCGATTGGCCCCTCAGTCCAAAAGCGTAACGGCAGCTTCAATAGTAGGCTCGTGCACGAGGCGCGCATGCTGTACGTGCACACTCCTTAACAAAAATAACAGCTGAGACAGTCCTGTGTGTGTGTATGTATGTGTGTGTGTGTGTGTGTGGCCCGGAGGACAGGAGAACGCGCAGCTAATTAATTAAATAATTTGGTTCTGTACCTTTCTCTTCAGCACAGCCGACAAAGGTTTAAGATGGGTCTGTCCTCCTGCATGCTCAGATCATTCCCTTCCCTTGCTTGAAAAATTGTTCCAAAATGAAAGTTGAACCCACATCTTTTTTATCTGTGAATTCAATGCCTTTCGGCGAGTCTCAAATAAACATTTGGGCATCTTACTGTAAAAAATATATACCATTAATGTAAAAAAATAAACTCTAAATAAGCTAAATTCTCATCCAGAATCGAACCCGGGTCTTCAGCACGAGAGTCCGACGTTTAACCAGGTGAGCTAAAGCACCAGTGGCGTCTTTCGTATCTGTAACATTTATATCCTTGATGACAGCTGAAACAACGCTCAAAGAACGGTTCGGAGTGAAAATGGCTATTTTGTTGCTAATTTGCAGGAAATATCTAGAAGAAAGTAGCTAAGGGTCCTCAGAAATGTAGCTAGGTTCATCACTAGGCGTTAGGAACAGCGACAAAGTCGCTGAGTTGGTACTACCTCACTCTCTGCTGCTAAAGCTACGGATGGCAAATGCTACGGGCGATGCCTGAGCGTGAACGCGCATGAAGCAGCCTGCTCGACCCGAGCAACTCTCTTTTTCTGTGATTTTACAGAAAAACAGGCAATCACAGTAAAAATGCCAGGGCTCATTCTACAGGACCAGGGCATTGCAGGAGAATGTATGAAGAAGAAATTTATTATTTCTATACATGTTTTGGCTGTCAAACATCCATAATGCCCCTTTAACACATGAACTGTACATTTAGATGATCTGAGACAGCATGAGGAAACATGACATCAGCCCCACCTAGAGGTAGATTGTTGTATTACATATAAACCAACAGCAGGTCTACGGAGTCAGACCTGTTCCACAGAGGATCATAGCACTCACAGTCTTTGCCCATCGTTCTTGGTGTAGAAGCCAACAGACTTTATGGTTGCCACGACGACCACCATGCAGAGCGTCACAGGAACAAACAGCATGATGACATGCTTGGCCCCGTACTTTAGAGTCATCTCCTCATCTTCATCCTCCTCGTTCTCCACCACCTGAGGGTGAGCAGTGGGGGCCTGCCCATTCTGCTCTGGGCTGCTGTCGTTACCACGACTACCCCCTTCAGCAACACCTCCTCCTGCACCTGAACCTCCGCTGGACCGGAGTCTCGTCCCAGACGCCTCCTGTGGTTTCTGGGTGGGCTCTGGGGCTTGAGCTGCTTCCCGTTGAGCCTTAATGAACAAGACAACCAATAAGACCAAGAATTAGACTCTTTCAGTAGATGCAGTAACCTAAAAAACAGTTATAGGATGCTCCCAGAAAAGGGAGGAAATGAATATGTTGCTTTAACTTAGCCCCATCTGTTTAGGCTCCAGCCAAACATCCCCTCCAACAGATCCTCATTCCTCTAATATTTATTCAGAACTACGGTTTTTGGATGATTTGCTGTCAGTGGCGAGGAGTGTGTCTGTGGGTAGCTCCACTAATCAGTCGAAGGAAAAATATTGTTGAGAAGAGACGAGAGGCTGTTAAGAGGGTTTATAACATGGTTGTCTAAGAGTTCAGACTCATAAAAGAACAACAAGCGCTCCCTGATTCAACCCTTTAACAGCAGGAAAACAACAAACAATGACATGTTGTCTTCCTCCCATCTTTATTTTAAAATCTGTATAAGTTATGTACAGAACAAGAGATAAATGATTGTTAAATAATAGAATCATTTAAGTATTATAGTGATGGAGATGCTATATGTACACAGCAGTTTTTGCTAACTTTTAGACCTTTAGTTTTAATTTAATTAGGGATGTTTGATGTTGGCTAGAGCGGGTTGTCCAGTAATTGGAAGGTTGCAGGTTTCATCCCAGATCCTGTTGTGTCCTTAGGCAAGACACTTAACCCTTCCTGCCTGAGGGTCGGAGGAACCGGCGGTGGCTGTGCACGGCAGCCTTGCCTCCGTCAGTGAGCCCCAGGGCAGCTGTGGATACAATGTAGCTCATCATCACCAGCATGTGGTGGTGATGTGTGAATGGATGAATAATACACTGTAAAGCGCTCCGAGTCCTCGGACTGAAAAGATGCTACACAAGCGCGGGTCATTTATATCTACAGTGTTCAGAGGGATGGAATGTGCTTAAACCTTAAACCAGGGGGGCCCAACCCACATCCTGGAGGGCCCCCATCACACCCAACTCATTGGATGAATCACCTCTTCAGCTGCTCATCAAGCCGTTTACTTTCAGCAATCAGATTATTTATATTCAATATATAATAAACTCATCAGGATAAGAATCTAAATGAGACACAATGAAATATTACTTCAGAAGGGGAACAGCTAGACACAACATCCTCCTTTCAAAAGATTGTTGGGTAAATGTATTAAGATTTATTTTATTTAACTAAAATAAAAAAAATCTGATACCTATCTGTGCCAAGGCCACGTTAGAGACATTATGAAAGAAGTAGATCACTCTCATATATTATATTTTGTTCTAGAATGACCTGGGTTTGAAGTGATGGCCATGTGAGGCCGAGGAGTCAGACTCCTGGGCTGAGATCTACCTAAACCAGGGCTGAACAAGTGCTCCAGCATGTTCTTTTATTAATGAAAGTCCTTAAACGTGATACACAAACTAAGTATATATATATATATATATATATATATATATATATATATATATTATATATATATATATATGTCGATGCTTCCTCCCAAACTCAAAATGTTGGATAATCATGACAGACAGGCAGAACACCTGTGACTCTTGTACTGACCATATTGTTTTCAACATCATCTGTATTGTTCGCCATGGTTGGCCCGGCTGACACTTGTCCTCACATGCAACCCAAAGTCTTTTATCCTTGCAAAAGACAGAGAGACAAAATCCTGTTAATGTTAGAGCACCAGAGACCGAAATAATCACAAATCACATAAAAGAGAACCAAGTGACGTAAATTACAAAAAGGAGCAAGACGAGAAATTAGATCTGAAATTAACCAAGCGGCTTGGTTCTATTTATTATTCTAGATATTTGAATGATTCGAATGATGGTGGTTTTATTTTGTGAAAAATATTTCTGTTAAATCTTAATGCTTTCCTTCATAACAACAAAAACAACAATAAGTGTGATCCCATCTTCAGTCATCATTCACATATCTGCTGAAACCAGACCAAATGCGTATGTTTTCAGAAACAGAGTGTGATTTGTGTCAAATATAGAGGCAGCAGTGGAGTTGCTTAGAACCTTTGCTCGGTGAGATCGGCTGCACCCATTTTAGTAGCGTTCATCATTGCAGTTATACAATCTTGCCGTTTCCTTCCCCCTGTTGCAACGAGCAGCCTGAAGCAAAATTGTTGCTTAAACATTTTGAAAAACCTTGCAACAAAAAATCCTCAGGTGGCAAAACAATGTAGAAAAAGACTTTCCAGAGTTCCTTCTGGCCAAGTGTTTGGCTCAAATGTAATGGGACTGGTGTGTGTGTGTGTGTGTGTGTGTGTGTGTGTGTGTGCGTGCGTGCGTGCGTGCGTGCGTGTGTGTGCGTGTATCAGGTACCATAAAGGGAGATAAGGGTCCTGAATGGCTATCTGTTTGTTTGGGACTGAAAAGGAAATGACTGGAGTATAATTATATGAATATATTGTCTCCAAAGTTTAAACTTCATTCTCAGAAAGGGTTTTGGAAGAATAGTCTAATTGGCTTTATCAATGGATTACTTAAAATGTGCAAATATTATCTAACAATTTGACAAAAATATAGATTGATTTACAACTCAGGTATTTATAAATACCAGAATACACATAAGTAGTGTGACTGGGTATGGAATTAAATATTCAAGCTTAGTAAAAATAATAATATTAGAGGTTAAAATGAGCTGCGATCTAACTGTAAACAATGTTTATATCACACCGTCAATCGAGCTTAAAATAATCCACATAAAGAGCTTCTTCAGCCACTTGTTTAATCAAAGATTTGTAGTTTTTTGTGCAATAATGACTCCTGGGACTCACTCACTCCATTTAGAAGCGATTTAACATACTTTTGAGTTTTTATTTTTATTTACCAAACAATAGAGCATTATTTACGGGACGGATGAAACATCTGGTGAGCATAGTTCATTAATATATTATAATTCATTACGGCCTATATGCGAGTAATAAATGACACCACATGCAAGCTATACTATTCAGTAATCGCGTGTGTGTTTTATCGCCAGGAAATGACAACAATGACTAGTTAACGTTAGCCGAACCTGTCATTACAGCAGACAGCTGCGGAGCTAGGTGGCTAACCTGGGATAGCCTACAGAGCTCTAATGAAAGCCAAAAAATTTAAAAACATTCCTAAAAACACACTCTTACCTCCAACGAGCAGTGTTTCACTTCTGTTATTTTGGGTTGCTCAGCAGGTTTAAAACTGGGCTCTCCCTTTTTGTTAATGCCGTTCTCTACCAGAACATCCGGCCGCTGAGTTACTACTTCCAGTTCACGCAGTCAGGTGATGCAAAATGATCTTTTGCTTTTGTTTTGGTGAACTATGATTATTATTATGATTGTTAAATATTATTTTAAACTACACATTAGTTGTGAAAAAGCTTTAAAGTAACCAAACATAAGATAAAATAAAAATGATTGTTGACTATTTGTGCTTCCGGGAGAAAGGTCAAATCTCTCGGACGGAGCAAACGTCTGAGGAATTCAACCAAAGACGAGTGGAAAGCGTCTGAAAGCATGGTAGATTTATATTTAATTTATATTTATATTTAATTATTAATCTAGAATATTTCGTTAGATTCTTGTTTTTGTTTTTATATTCTTTAGAATGCGTTCGCTAACTTTACAGGGTGGATGGAGGCATATTTAGCTGCTATCAGCAGAACCGACACAGACAAAACAACAGTTTTATTGTTAAACGGGCTCTAAAATATGATAGTTAGTTTTCATTTTATTTCAATATTTTGTCCTTAAACACGCGTGATTGAGTTATTATTTAATAATTACGGATAAAAATTCAACATTTTACTGACATTTCCGTCATTTTACAGCATTTTACTAAAGATGGTCACGTGTTATTGGTGGTTGTAATTCTCCCCAGAATCTTTTCCTGTCTTCTAAAAATCATAGAATAGATTTGTTTTTGTTTTTTTCTTCCAGTCTCACACTATTCTGCTGGTTCAGCCCACGAAGAGGCCTGAAGGGCGGACATATGCTGATTATGAGTCGGTCAACGAGTGCATGGAGGGTAAGTTAAGGATGAACTGATTCTAGTGCTATAATAATCCCACTTAGAAGCTGAAAGCTTTAAAAGGGAACATATGAATTTTTTACAGTTACAGTTTTTCAATGTTCGATACAAAACATGTTCATAGCAGTTTTTCCTTGCATAATCCCTTTCATAAAGTTACCTCACCACCTCTTTCGTTTATATTTTCAGTACTTTCCAGATTGAGCCATTTCAGGGCTTTGTCACTAGAGAAGAGCTAGGGATGGCACGGTAACGGGTGTAGCGGTAAACCCCGGTAAAAATGGTGTCAATAATAATAACCATCTTGTTTTTTAAAAAAGATATATTATCTCGGTGGATTACCGTGGCCGCAGTATAGGCACGGTGACCCATACTAGCCACCGTATCATGTGCGGCTGAAGGTGCCGCACATGCTCGCTTTCTAGTTTGCAACCAAAACTTTCTTGAAGCTAAAGCTGAAAGACGACGATCCTGTTTGCGGCACGTGCAGGAAAAAATGTCTGCAAAAGGCCACAATACATCAAATCTCATGACACATCTGCGTGACCATCACCTACAACTCTACAGTCAATGCAAGGCAAGTTAACGTTAGCACTTTATTTAAATGCATGATGTGAGGACTTTGGGTTGAGTGAGAATGCAATGAGTTGCCTTATAGTGCAGCCATAGCACCCACTGCCAGCATATAAACCGTGCCACGGACAACCCCAGATTGAAATGACACTATGCATTACGGGTCTCCCAGTAGGCAGATAAGAGTTAGTCACCAATGCAATAGATTGACTCTCGCTGCATTATTATGAATTTAACAATGATTACTGCCTGATGACTTTTTCCCAAATCTGCAAATCTCATTGGAAGGACACAAATTGAAGACAACTGTTCTGATATCGAGGTTTTATTTAGGTTTCCGTAAATATAACATGTTTCTGGTGCTATAATTAGTATGTGTAATACCCTCGAAACAACCAAGAACACACCAGGAAATAATAAATAGGAGTGGAAGATAAATATTTTTATTTTGCCCCACTGAGGGAAACAGTTTGTGCGCCCCTGATCCATAGGCGGGGCTGAGTAGAGTAGCCAACAACTGTACTCGAGTAAGAGCAGCACTACTTCAACACATTTTACTCAAGTAAAAGTGGCTGTCCAAGAAATTACCCAAGGGTAAAAAAGTAATTGATTAGAAGGCTACTTGATTGCTGAGTATCATCTGATCTCATATTTTTTAAATGATGACATCAAACAAACAAAATAAGCTATGGGCAAATTTTGGTATTTTAAAGACTAAAGGGGAAAATGTAAATAAATAAACAATATAATTACAAAATAATAGAGCTGAGGAAAATAATCAAATAATCGATGCATCGGGATGCGGACATAAACGATTCTGCATCGTAGAAGAGTACGCCATAATCGATTATAGTGGAATGTAGTTTTGTTTTTTTTAATGGCGGCACCAGTGCAGATCCAAATCTGTCAGAGTGAGCGTCCTCCACATTTACCTCCGCCTTAATGTGGTACTGCAGGGCTGAGCGCTAGAGTTGTCACCCGAGACCAAACCGGAACCGAATCAGCCCGACCGGTTCTGTTGGATTTGGGCCGTGAATTATGTTAATTGAGCGGTTGTCGTGCGGCGCGCTCCGCTCGCTCGATCAGCGACAGAGAGAGAGAGAGAGAGACACTGTCTGCTCAGAGAGACGATCGGAGGACGCTCCTCCAAACACGCGTTATTATTTTCATAATTTAATTATTATTTCTCCTGGAAGCGCTCAAGTCAGACTGCTTGTTGTAATGTAGGGAGAGCCGGTCTTGGGGAGGGGGCGGGGTCAGTGACAGCGGCTGCAGCGTGATCGTCTGTCTCTTTTATTTAGGGACACGGAGAAGTTAAAAGGAGAGAGAAATAGAAGTTCTTGTTCCACTTTATTATTTTGTGTCATGAAGATAAACTGATGTTAAATTCATCTTAAAGAGAAACTGGGAGGAAGCTTTGGTTCATTTTAAGTTACAGGAGGTCTGTCTCCTATCTGCTCCTCCAGAGACAGCATGGACACGAGGGTTACAGGGTGAGGGTCCCACAGGACAGGTTAGTGGAAAGGTTTGTAGTTAGCTGGTTAGTGAAGGAGATCCATCAGCTGGGTAATTTAATCCTAATCCAGCCCACAGCCTTCTGCTGGTGTTATTATCAGAAAGAATAAAACACACATCTTAAATATTATTGGAAGTGTAGAATTTATTTGTTTGTTTTATTATTTTCTGCATCAAACAGAACTTGATTCATTCTCCAACATTTCAGAAACGAACCACTGGGTTCAAATAAAATAACAAACTAAGTCAAACATTTCATTTGGTGTTATTTCTGACACCCTTCAACTGTGGCATAAATATTTGACTCTAGAGCTGCTCAGAGACATTAAACACTCATATATGAACCCATTATGTATTTTATTATTACATTATGTGTCCTGTAGGTTTTCAGTACTTTTTAGATTTTGTGAGTTTTTGCAAAGCGTGTTTTTCTCAGCCTGAGGCGTGGTGTTGAACCAGGAAACAGATGTTTTACTTTGTTAAATCTTCTTAAATGTTTAAAATGTTTTGTCCTAACCTGTTGTGAATGGAGAGCTTTTGAGGGATGGCAGGTTGTGTCAATTACGTTTTAGATATAAAAAAAAATAAAAAGCAGTTATCTGACATCTTCTATTTATCGATGAAAACAAATCAATATGAAATAATCGTGATGCATCGGGATATCGAATCGAATTGAATCGTTGACCCAATAATCGTAATCGAATCGAATCGGGAGACAAGTGAAGATTCACACCTCTACAAAATAGCACATTTTTGGCAAAAATTAAACAAACTGAGGACATTTAGTTGTCTGAAAGTGTAACCGGTTTAAAAAAAAAAATACCGCAATAATGCTGAAAACTGTGATAAGTTTGGTCACAATAACTGTGAGGTGAAAATTTCCCAACGTGACAACCCTTAGAGGAGCTGCTACTAGCCCCACCCAGAGATGGGGTTTATCACTGTAAAAATGGGAAATTATGAGTCTCATTCCTGCTTATGGTTAAAGTTCAACTTCACTGAAAAAACATTTTTATTATTTCTGATTGTAATGTTGCTGTTTTTCATGCAGGCTGAACATGAAAATAGTCTCCTACACCTACCTCCTGCATTAGCTTCTGACAGAAAATAGGCGGTGAAACACAGGGATTAGAAAATCTTGGCAGATCTACGTCTCACTCTCATTGAACATTCATGGACCCACCCATCTTGGCTCACGACGGGAAATGTTGTTGGTGTATCGACCAGGAAACTGTAGTCTCAACTAGTAGGGGTATGACACGTCTCACTTTTATGTTAATATTGTTTTATTTGATGCACTCCACTTTGAACTGCACCAATCCAGCAACTGCTGTATTTTAATAACTAGTATTAAAGGTGAATACACCAATATTTGCACAAAAATAATTTTGTTTTAAACCCTCAGTGACACACTTTGCAGAGGGGGTTGGCATTTAATTTTTCTTGGCGTCTGGAAAAAACATCTCCTTCTGCCCCCTTTATTTGACTTTCTGCCCCCTTTATTTTGGTCCAAGATCATTACTGGGCTGGCCCTTTTAAACACGTTCTACACCCCTGCTTAGTAGACTTACTGAAGTATTTTTAAGCCAGTATAAAAATGACTGAAACACAAATTTACATATTTGGCATTACGGACCCATATCTTTGATTTAATTTATGTGTTAAGAACATCAAGATGCATTACAGTGAACATTATAATAAAGTAAATGTTTCTAGTGCAGAGAGGAGACAACCCATAGAAGCACTGATTTGATCTCATTTCAGAGAAAAATAGAACAGATCAGATGCACCTAATAAATAAAATTACTAACAAACTCAGGAATCTGTTTCTTTGCTTCATTGTTCTGGTGCTGAAAATATCACTAATGCAGATCAAAGGAGATACACAGATGAATGCACCTCTTATTTATTATTTGTAAATTAGTGGGTGTGGTTTACATCAATATATTATTTTAAGTCTAAAATTGATATGGATTGATCAGAAGTTGCTATGTGTGTATTGCTTATTTGAAAACTATTTACAGAGCAGCCTCAGAACTGAGATTAAATATTTTTGATCACAATAGTAAAGAAACTATTATAGAACAAGTTTTTCAGTAAAATCAGAACATTAATGTTTAAGTGCATGAATAAATGCATCTGAACTCATGCAGTAGGAACTAGGAAATATGAAATACTAGAATTTATTTTAATTTGATTAAACTGATTTTTTCCTAACGTTGTTGGTATTTTTCCCACACACAGTTAAACAAAACAATGTTGATTGAGGTGTGTGTGTGTGTGTGTGTGTGTGTGTGTGTGTGTGTGTGTGTGTGTGTGTGTGTGTGTGTGTGTGTGTGTGTGTGTGTGTGTGTGTGTGTGAGAGAGAGAGAGAGAGAGGGGGAGAGAGTGTTAAAATAATAAAAAAAAAAACCTGACCGGAGCGGAGGCAGTGACCGTCGCATGCACGAACCGTTTTCAGCTCTGTCTTGTCAAATACACCACGTACGTTACGAAAAAAGTAACTTTAAATATTCAACCGAAAAAGAGGCGAGCTGAAGAAACGTGAGCAACAGTGAAGCAAGCACAGAGAGATCCGTTAGTGTGTGTGTGTGTGTGTGTGTGTGTGTGTGTGTGTGTGTGTGTGTGTGTGTGTGTGTGTGTGTGTGTGTGTGTGCGTGTGTGTGTGTGTGTGTGTGTGTGTGTGTGTGTGTGTGTGCGTGTGTGTGTGTGTGTGTGTGTGTGTGTGTGTGTGTGTGTGTGTGTGTGTGTGTGCGTGGATGGGAGGATGGACTGAGCTCAGTGTTGCCAACTGTTTTTGACTGAAAGAAGCTGAAGTTCCCCCAAAAGTCGCTAGATGTCGCCAGATGACGTCACGTGCTAATTTGCATACAACGTAATCTGGTTTGCGTGATGACATCACCGTTCTTGTAGAGTAAATCAAATAAAACTCACGTGATTTTATTTAAAATATTATTTAATTGTTTTATATTTTATTAAAATAAAAACCCCATAGAATACAAAACAGCAGCCTTTAAAACATCAAGGAAAGATGGCACAAAAAAATGGAAGGAATATTTCTATTTTGTCTGAAGAGAATGGAACTCGTAAACACAAAAATATTAAATTGATAGGAATGTATGTATGATTGAATTAAAATGAATTTTCTCTTGTAGTTTTCAAGTGCCTTGAGATGTATTCTTCTGTTGTGATTCAGTGCTATATATTGACCTAACAGATAATATATCTTTTCTTATTTTTGTTTGGTTTTGTTGTTTTTAGTACTTTTGTGTGAAAAGAAGCAGGCCGTATTTAGTATTCAGAAACGTTGCATGCAAACTGCCAATGACCTGAGGTGTTCGTCTTACAGTATTATTCTGTTTTTTATAAAAGTTTTAAATGTGCTACCTTATTGAACTCATCAGAGTTCCAATGTTCCTTGAATGCACCACAAGTGGTGGAAGAAACCATGTGTGAGTGCGACGCTGGTGCCAGCCGAGCTCAGCTGCCGAAATGCGGCAGTATGGCAGAAGGAGCGGTCGCCCTTTATGTAGCTCCGGTGGCTATCTCAAATAATGGACTTGTGAAAACCCACGAAAGGTTTGATTGGCCAATGGGGGTAGCGTGATCATGCTGCTTGCACATGCGCAGATCGTTTTCTTTCTGATCCTCTGGAAGGAAGGACGGTCCTGTCGCTTCAGATGCATCGCTAATCTGCAGGTAAAGTTGGCTACAAAGTTGTAGTCAAAGTAGCTGAGGGGGGTCAGAAATGTCGCCAGATTTGTCGCTAAGTGCTTTTTTGAAAGAAGTCGTATGCTCGTATTCTTCAAAAATGCTTTTTCCGTGCCGGATACTAGTCTGAAATGAGTATCCAGCTCATCCCTAGCTGTAACCTCCCTGCCCTGCCTCCTCCTCCTCCTTGCTGCCTGCCGGCTATGATCACAAGCAACAACAGAGTAGTTCCCGCTGCTTCTTTGGGAAACGGCGCAAAAAAAAATCAATAAAAATTGGGATCTTGTAGGCGTGGCGCTGGGATTTCAGGGCTACACCTATGTAAGGGAAACACTGAGAAGTCCTGGAAGTGATGTTTGGTCCTCACAGAGCCCTGATCATGGAGTGTTTCTGGGATTACATGAAGAAACAGAAGAATGTGAGGAAAGTCAAAGTCCCATAGTCATCATCACACACTGGTGAAATTCATCTCTGCATTTGACCCATCCCCATGGAGGGGAGCGGTGAGCTGCAGCTGTGGCTGCACTCTGGAGAGGCATTGGGTCCTGATCTCCCAGTCCCAGGGCGGACACTCTACCACTACGCCACTGAGCTGGTTCAGAAGATCTGTGTTTAGTTCTCCAAAGCATCTTTCATAAAACAATGGAGCCACCACAGTACTTTCAAAAGACACATTGTGGCGGCGTTATTACCTTGACTTGCCACCATGATGAAATAGGCTCTTGGTGTTTGGATAAACCTACCAGTGTAGCTAGAAGTTCTGATGCTGTTTTGAATTCAATGGGTGGTCTCAGTCTCACCAACTATTGATTTGATTTAGGTTTATCTTTTGTTCATTCACTGTTTTTTTGATAGGTTAAAACTACTGATTAACACTTCCATTTTTGAAATTGTCCTCTGTTCACAGCATTTTTCCACACCTGCTTAAAACCTTTACACAGTAATGTACAGCAACACATGACTCTATGTACCTACAGATCCACTTTCAGGGTTCTTGTCCCAGGATACCTGGACGTGTTGCTAGCTGGGGCCGGTGATCAAACCGCTCTCCTTCCCATCAGTGGCCAAATGCTCTTTCCTTTTGAGCCACTGCTAAAATCTGTTCATGATAAAAGTCCAAGCTGGTAAACTGTTCAAACAGGCTCTTTCCAGTTCAAAAGGGTTTAAAAGAACCAAAGTCCAGAAACTCATCAGAAGTAATTCAGACAGGTTACACAAACAGGTGAAAACTGGAAAGCGATACACTCACTGAAGACCAACAAACCTTTAGTTTTTTTGACTTCCATTAGTAGTTGTGTTTTGTGTCTCCTGTACAGGTGTGTGTAAGATGTATGAGGAGCATTTAAAGAGAATGAACCCCAACAGTCCGTCGATAACGTACGACATCAGCCAGCTGTTTGACTTCATCGATGACCTGGCTGACCTCAGCTGTTTGGTGTGAGTTTGATTAAAACAAAGTGTTATTCAGCCTTTATGAAGAGCTGTAATAAGCACCCACGTTGGTTCCTCAGGTATCGCGCCGACACGCAGACGTACCAGCCGTACAACAAGGACTGGATCAAAGAGAAGATCTATGTGCTGCTGCGTCGTCAGGCTCAGCAGGCGGGGAAGTGAAGCTGGTGATTGGGAGTGGTAGTTAAAGTAGTGCTTTTTAAATGGGGGGGGGGGGGGTTGTATTTTATATGTTTGACTTATTAATAAAGATTCACATTAACAGTCATTTTCAATTAGTTGGTTTGTTGTTTTCTAGTTTATTTGCTTTTCAATCTTTTTTTTGCATTTCCACTCTCTTCAAAAAATCTTAAAATTTCTTGAATAATGTTTTTATGGAATCTGCTTTCCCTGCCCTTTCCTCTGAAACTAGCACAAGAGGAGTTTTACCACTGATGCTGCTGGTTTATACTCTCAGGAAAGGACAAAATTAAAAAAATTTTCCTTTAAAGAGATGATTAAGACTTCTTGTTTCCGTTTTTTTAACAAGGTTATTTTTTACAACATATTTAATTAGAACGAACCACATAAAACAACCTCACCACCCACCTGGCTACACTGGATGAACCTTTAAAACAGAAAACAAACAAAACAGGTGACAAAGTGACACTAAATCTAAATGCTATTACAATCTCATGAAAGAAATAAAAGAAACAATTAAATTTGTTCAATGTGTCCCATAAAGTGTTCTTGATTTTCTCCAGGTGGATATGGAACATCATCTCTGCGACCCAGTGGCTGGAGAGTGAGAGTCCTTCCATTTGGAAAGAATGGGTCTATTAGCCAGCAAAAGGCTCTTATGTGTAGATGGCAAGTTTTAAAAGAAGCTAATAACGGGATCAAAAGTAGGCTCCCAGTACCACTGCAAACGTGTAAAGAAGCGTAATGGGCGATCGTCTGCGAAGTTCACGTCGGGTCCAAGTCTGGCTTGATTTTAGATGCTTTGTCTTTGGACCGATGTAAACAGTGCACCATTTTAAACTGGATGACACGTCTCTCACACAGATCGAGAACTTGTGAATGTTCCTTAGAATCTTGTGCCAAACCTCATCTGCAAACCCAGGTCCAGCTCCCATTTCTCTTTCTATACATCCAGACTGGTCCAGTGGTGTGGGCTGAGCCAGGTGTAAAGCTTATTCGAAACCCTTCTAGTCCGGTAATCCAACATTTCATCGAGAAGAGACTGAGATGGGCACAAGGGAAAACATTCAGAGTTGGATTTCACAAAGTGTCCCAGTTTTAAATACCTAAAGAACTATGATTTGTGGCTAGGAAATGCAGCCACCATTTGTTCAAAGGAGGTAAATTCACTATAGGCCATAGAGAGATTGTATGGATAGCAGCCCATCCATTAAAGGCCTCATCGGACACGGATGACTTAAATGAGGCTTTTCATCAAATTAAACCAAAAGATCGCCTATTGATTCCAGATCTTAATTGTTTGAACAACAATGGGATTGGCTGAGTATAAAGCTATAGAAGAACTAGCAACAAGCAAAGCTCTTTGTCCACAGCCACCCAACTCACAACATCCTTCCTCAGCCAGAACACTAGAAGCCCAGTGACGATACATAAAATTAGGAAATGCCATGCCTCCCATGTTACGGGGTTGGGCTGGGCGATATGGCCTAAAATCAATATCATGATCTAGTTAGGATTTCACCTCGTTAACGATAAATGGACGATAACTATGGGTAAGCGCAGAAATAAAAGTTGTCCATTAGATGGGGCTGTCACGTGTATCATGTTGAGTCACATTTTTACGTGACTCATGGTCATCTGGATAAGAGTTAGAAATTTCAATAAAGATAAATTTTCGATTTATTGCCCAGCCCTATGACGGGGTAATTGCAACACCTTTTTCCTGGTTCTCAGGCATCTATTATGCCATATAAAGCCAGAAACTATGAGTAGATCCCAGATGTGAAATAATTCAATATCTGGGTGCTGCCTCATGGTAATACCCAAAGGCTCAATAGCAACTGCAGATAGAAGAGGCGACAATGGGCATCCTTGCCTAGTAATACAGTTCCAATTAGAAATAATCTGACATAGTGTTATTGGTGTGGACAGCTGCCAACAGAGAGGAATATAGCAATTTTATCTAGGATACAAGCGTGTCTCAAAGAGGTAGTCCCACTCCATCTGATCAAACGCCTTCTCAGTTTGGCATGGTGATGATACGAGGGATTAAGTTTATTTTAACAAAACAACGCCACCTCGGGAATTTCACCCAAGGAATTTGTTTTAAAGTTACGCTGAGGCATGTAGGTGCATTTTTGCCCAAGAAGTTGAGTTTTTTTCCAGGGTGTTAAAGTAATAATTTATTACAATATAAAAAGAGAAGGTTAAAACAAAATCAGTTTAAGACCATAAAAGCTTAGAGCCGAGGCTTACCAGTAGAGTGGGGCCCCCCACAGGCCAGTGGCAAGTCCACCCACCACCATGTCACCTGCTGTGCCACACACGCTACATACACACACAGTGCTGCAAACCAAAAGACACACAAAAACTGGAGATGCCATGACTGCAGTGTGACCGCCACATCCACTGGGAACCTCGGCTGCAAAAACACAAACGAATTAAAACATGAATAATGTAAAGCCCTTCTACCCCCCAAGGTACTCCAGAGCATAGACGCTCCTCCAGGTGCTCCCACACCATCACTGTGGCTCTGTTTACCCAGGGGCTAGTATGAACCTCCCCTGGCCACTCTGTGGTTCTTGGTTCAGGCCAAGGACCACCATAGAGTGTCCATCTGTGCGCTACTCCTCACTCACTCCAGGCCAGAGGAGCAAGCGAGATCTTGCCCCAGTCCAGGCTATAGCTAAGTACGGCGCCCACCAGCATCCTTTGTCTCTTGGCTCCAAACTGCACATCATCGCTCCTCCTAGGGCGTAGGCTTCAGTGCACAAGATGTCTGAGACTAAATGCATAATAAAACAGCAGGTTTGGAATCCCAAACCTGCACTGATCTACCGGCCGTTGCAACTTCGAAAACTTCAGTATGGGGCGTTTAGTGTTCCAGAGGAATCTGCTAATAAGTCTACCAAAGTGTTTAAAATATCCATCCATCCATTTTCTTCTGCTTCTCTGGAGTCGGGTCGCAGGGACAGCAGCCTAAGTCGAGAAGCCCAGACTTCCCTCTTCCCAGCCACTTGGGCCAGTTCTTCCAGGGGAATCCCAGGGTGTTCCCTAGCCAGGTGAGAGACATAGTCTAAATACCATGAAACTAATTTTATGGTATTTAATCAAAGAGGAATAAATATGGATATTTCACTGGCTATAGAAGGAATTACCATTGATAGAGTGAGATAAATTAAGTTTTTAGGGGTCATTGTTTATTAATATTTCCTGGAAGCCACATAATGGTATAAAAACTAAATGGCTAAAGTGATTGCTATATTACACAAAGTAAAGAAGTCTTTGAATAGTAATGCATTCTGTCTGTTATATAATAATCTGATTGTTCCATTGAAATCTGGGAACTACGTATAAAACGTGCACTAATCCAGTTTTGATTTTACAAAAAAGCAACAAGAATCATTAGTCTCTAACTAATGACAACAAGCGGTCAGTTGATTATAAGGTGTATTAGCTCATTTAGTTTTTTTTAAAGAATGAAATAAAAAAAATATTAATAATAAAAATAAAAAATGAATAGTTCCTCCAGTGTGTCCTGGGTCTCCCTTTAGGTCCCCTCCCGGTTGGACGTGTCCAGAAAACCTCACCATGGAGGCGTTCAGGAGGCAGCCTAATCAGATTGCACAGCCTGCACAGGTTGTGCAGAACAGCACAGCCAGGTTCCTGACTGGGACCAGGAAACGGGACCACATCAGTCCGGTTCTGGCCTCCTAGCACTGGCTTCCGGTTCGCTATCGTTCACACTTCAGACTCCTCGTCTTTGTTTTTAATTTCTTCCAGGGTGGTGCTCCCCCCTATCTGGCCACGCTCCTGAACAGACATTCCCCATCACGCGCTCTGCGCTCCTCTGACCAAGGCCTGCTCGCTGTCTCTCGTTCTAGGTGTCGTACTCGCGGGGACCGGGCTTTCTCAGTACTAGCACTGTCACTATGGAACCAGTTGCCACCCTCAGTTAGGCTGTCCCCATCTCTGCCTGTCTTCAAGAGCCGCCTAAAAACACACCTCCTCCGCTTGGCGTTCCCTGAATGTATTTGAGTTAGGCCGTCATTTATGTTGATTTTATCTCACAGTTTTCATTGGTTCAATTTTTCCCTTGTTTTACACATTTGTCTTCTACTAGAATGTTTCACCTTTTTTGTAATTTGTAATCTGTAATTTGAATTGCTTTTATTTTCTGATTTATTCACTTTATTTGACTTTGTACTGTACAGTGTTCAGCGCCTTGGGCTTCCTGACAGGGTTGCGGAAGGCGCTTTATAAATAAAGCTTTGATTTGATTTGATTTGAGATGCCGAGCCACCTCAACTGGCTCCTCTTAAAGCTTCCTTCCGGAGTATTTCTCTTATCCAATGTCACCATCTAGTGGCTGACAAGCATATCACACAAAAACTGTTCCTCTGTTTGTATAACCCTCCCACTGTTTTTATGGGTGACCCCGCGAGGAAAGTTGACCATTGAGCAGGGTTGATGGTTTATCCCTTGAGGTCCACATGGCAGGGGTGAGGTGGTGCTCACTCCTCACCCCTGCCATGTGGACCCAAGGGATAAACCATCAACCCTGCTCAATGGTCAACTTTCCTCGCGGGGTCACACCCATTAGGACAGTGGGAGGGTTAAAATTGCGACTTCACGTTTCTGTTTATAAATGTGCTTCTTAGCCGACAAACGGAGCTAAAACATGTTGTTTTACGAGTATTACTCTCATGTCATTTTGTGTTTTCATTTTCATATATTTATACTTAGAGACTTACTTGTAGTTCATCAACTCTGCATCAGCCGAGGTATTCCTTAAATTTGAAGCAAGTAAGCGGTAGTCTAACGCTATTGGTTAGTTCTGGTCGGCGCTCAGTTTCCTATTGCACGGAGCTCTGCGGGGCAGGGGGCGTGCTTAGGGAAAAAAAAGATGTATTACTTACATTTCATCACAGTACATGATGAGATAATCACTTTTACGGATTTCTGAAAAATCATACATCATTTCTGAAAGGGGAAGACTCCGGAAAGAAGCTTTAATGTGGAGGAGCAGCGGATCTCCTCCAAGCCCCTTACCAGATGACTGAGGCCCTCACCCTAAGGGAGAGCCCAGCCACACTGAATTTCTGATTCAGCAGAGGCAATAACAGCCTGAATGAGCGTAAAGCAATTCCAGATTTCATCTGTGATGCAGAAAAATATCCAATATTTTGAGAGGGGTGGTTTAGTGCAAAGTACTCACGCATCCTGTCATCAGGTTGGTACCACTTTGCAGGATCATATGGGTAGCTTGTTAACACCCTTTCTGGGTCTAGAGGCTCCTGCTGACAGCCT